TATTTTAAGGTAGGCAAATGCAAACTAATTTAGAAGGCAGCTAGATAAGCTCACACGTTCTTTATCTCCACATTACGCATTCAGGAATTCGACATTTGCATCACTGTTCACAAAAACCGTCTAATCGATTATGGTACTTTGGAGATAAACAAAGTATGTGAATGCTATTTCACTTACTCCAGAAGGAAATAAACCAGGCTATTTTACAAGCCGTGGACATTTGCATCGCCGTTTGCAGATACTGCCTAAGAGAAGCATAGCTGTACGGGCAGAGTCCGAACTTACACATACTTATGCTACTTTCAATAGGTGAGTAGACGTTCATATTTACCCTTTATGAACTTTCAGTCCACTGCATTCTTTTCGCTTTCTTAACTTACTCATTTGTGTTTTTTAGGTGCTTTGTTCCCAACAGGGAATCAGGGGCGTTTGTTTCCCTTTTCGTTAATAAAACCGAACTGGACTCGACTGTATCACTCCATCCAGGGAGCTGAACAAACACCTGCTTTATTTGTCCAACTTGAATGTCTCCGCCAATCTATAGATGGTATGTTAGATATTTGACAGTAATAGGTTAACATTTAGTTTTAAAAACGCTGATAGATGCACATTATCCTCAAATTAGGAGTAAGGCAAAAACTTCTAACGGAACTATCTGTTCGTCTTCCGTGAAGCTGATAAACCTCCGACATTTTCTTCCTTTTTTAAGAATAACGACAAAACCTTGGGTAAATTGGAGTTATATTCCACCGTGATAAACACTATATAATTACGGTTCGGCCTGTGAAAGACAAACGCTCGTTGATCTTTAAATGTGTTGCCGAGTTCCTTACTATTTCGCCAAAAATGACGCATGAGAAATCGATGTCGAAATACGCAACTTAACATGCGACAAACCCGGATTGCTTTGATTTAGGCACACCTACTTTGCTTGCGGTTAGTTTACGGTTGTGCAGTTTTAGATATGTGGAGGAAGAAATGGCTAAAATTTAATTATGCTGTAACCTGGGTCCATGCGTTTGCGTTTTCGACTATAGACGCTTTTATGAGGGATAATAAGGAAATATGAGGATTGTCGTCTACGCATAGGCATTATCTCCATGAGGAAAATTCGAGACTATCGATCTATATGCAAAAAGCATGAAAACCTTTCTCCGATTGCAAAGCTTTTCAGAGAATTGACGATTATAGCACACTGTCGTTTGGAAAAGTGGCCATTTGCAGGGTATTTTTTGAGACATTAGGCTGGATTGCAGTGTCAGAAAATTATTGGCGCGACTGGTCCGACTTTCACATGCACGCCATAGATTGCAAACCAGATCGCATTCGGGTTAGTATTTTGCTAGGCGGACCAGTGCGCCATGCCTGTCTTTTAAATGGGAGTTTTACCCGAGATATTCGTTTTTGTTTGAATGGCTGTCCAAGGGTGATTTAGCAGTTCTCAGAGACAGTTAGCGGTTCACACATATGATAAATTATTGTAGACGCACAGATAAATGTGCCTATCGGAGATTCGTAGAAACACACTTCATTCCGTGAACCGACGCAGTATTCAAGAGACATTTAGGCTGCGCGAAACGTTTAATCCCCCTACATTACGAGCTTTAGAACGTCTACATTTGCATCACCGTTCACAGAAATCGTCTACCTGAAGCATGTTTGCATGAATCTATGTAAGCTTTGTGGATGCGGCAATTTGGCCCAGTTTAATCTTGAAGTTTGTTGCATGACATCAATTTCCAAGAGGCACATTCGAGATGACAGCATTCCAGGCTTTCATTAATAATCTATAAATGTGTTTTCCGAGATAATAAATGATTGTAATTTTATCTTACTAACTGCAGAACGGAATAAACCAAGACCCTTGGAAAGCTGTAGACACAATAGCACAGGAAACCAGAAGGCAGGTTTTCTGGTGGGCGTAAGTGTGTGTAAACAGATAAAGCGAGAAACGGTAAAGATTTCCTCAGAAGTTAGCTAAATTTCGGCCTCTAATAAAGGTGCATTCTTAGACAAATGTATCCTCAGCCGTTAAGAAACATTGATGTCATGCTTTGCGAGCATGGCGTTTAAAAATAGTGTAATAGTGAAGGTTACATATGAATATTCCTTAAGGAGTAGTGCAATTTTAGGTATGACGGTCGGCCAACGCCTTTTAGTCTGAGTACTGATTCCAAACCAGCTTTCAGGGGATTTGTGGTATTCTTGATTGGTTTAAGTTGATTCAGATGCGGGTCAATATGACGAACAGGAGTTGTTCTAATTTCGCCGATGCAGACATCGCAGGGACAAGGGCATTCATAAGGGCACATGCTGCTAGGGCGATCAGTGACAAATAAATGCAAAAAAAGTTTCAGGCCTATTGGCAAACTAACCAGTTTTTGTTTATAAGGAAAACCCTTGTTTTGGATAACTTTGATTTTTAGATCGGTTTTGAAATATTGCTGAATATTTCACGTACTTTAGCGTATTTCCCCTACTGTCCGTAAATACAGATTATGTATGATGTATCTGTTACAAGCATGAAAATAGGATATTTTCGAAAACCTTTAACAATGTGGCGGGGTGATGGACGTTCTATTTCACGTAGTAGGTCCTTTGGGTCACATTTGAATACTCACTTAAACATGAAACTTTATGGTCAAATACAATGGCCCTACACAAGGAAATGCAGCAGTGAATGCTCAATCGATAAATTAGCAATAATCTACCACTGTAAGTAGTATTTTAAAATCCGCACTTCGTTGACGGATCTCTGTGCACGGTGAAGACAAGAAAAAAAATTGACACTTTCAGCCGTTTTCTTCGCATTCCTAAAATAACAAACATTTTCCTACCGCAAACGTAAGAACATACCTTTTTCATTTTATTGCGGCGATATACACTGTTTGTTGCTTGCTTTAACGCTGTGTTCTAAGATTAATAGGATACGGTATAGTGCCTATGTGAATGCTGATATTTTACTAAAACTTTTAGTGTTTTGCTCGTTACATTTCTGAATTACGTATGTGCAGAAGCTAGACTACACGACGTGTAATGTTTCATATGTTTAAACCTATGAATCTTTATTTGGTGGTGATCGGTTCTGCAGCTAAAAGTAGAATTTTTTAAATAGAAAAACAATTCCGGCCCATTCCAAATGGTGATTGCTTGTGTGCGTTATTACTGCACTTATGGGCATCAAACCGCACAGGTCTGCTAAAATGGCTTCTGGAATTTGAAAAAAAGACTGATTATCTTAGCAATTTCATTCCAGCGGTTAGCATCGGACAAAAAATCGATGTTCAACTCTTGGCAAGCTCTGTCTAGTAAAACTCTCGAGAGTGAACTGATTTTCTTTCAAAACAAAACATCCTCAGATGCGCCACCTACGTCTAGGACAAGCATTAGCATAAAAAATTGCCCAAATCTGCTGCAGCGTTCACTATCGTTCAAATCGATGAACATTTTGGCTGATATAATTTCGTAAACACAATTTCTGCACAAGAACATGACATGTCCTTGAAGAGGCTGAATGGCCTAACAAAATTCCCAAGGCCTAAGTCATCCGAAAATTCTTACATCCGTTTCCGTTATCAGGTTCCATGAGATAAGTCACGCAATGCATTTATCAAGGGAAGGTACTGGTAAATGTGGCACTCTGAAAAAAACCTGTTTTTGAGAAGGGGACGCAAAAGGAAACAATGTATGAAATAACGGTAAGAAGAGGAGTTATTTCTGGGGCTGTTTTTCAGAAATCGAACTACCCAGTTTTCACGTAATGCCTATATGCCTACGACAGGCATAGAGAGTGCACTTACACAATCAGCAATTTGTCACTTTACTAGTCTGTTCAACCAATGAAACACTAGTAAAAACTACGACTAGTCTATATAAACAGTATAGAACTGTCCAAATGCAGTCGTGATTGGTGAATGGCCACCAAAATGTCGAGTCTTTGCTGGTTGGTCCTGTTTCAATCGTTTATGCTCCTGGCTGCTTTGGATTTTGGTAACTTTTGCGTGCAGCATACATCTGCTTCAATTTTCCCATCAAACTTGGTTTTAAATTAATGAAAACTCGTAATTGTCCTCAGCATCTAATCACATTAACCTACTTGAGAGTCGCCTATAACTGGCGATTTTATCCATTGTTTTTAAGAAAGTGAAAAGGGAATACGATTTTACGGTCTGTGTAAAAAGGAACATGAAAATCGCTCATTTGTGGCATGAAGACTTAAAGATGAAACCAAGGGCAACGGCTGTCCTGTTGCGCGTGCAAAAAAAACGAGGTATGTACACAACCTGTTTTCATTCCCGGTACATCCAAATTTGGCTTGATCATATTGCATTTATTCACAAACTCCAATGTTCCCTATTTTGTTTTAGGGGAATTAAATGAGACAATGACAGTGTACTTCTGCGAAGACCGCAACCAGTCGTGCAAACCATACGTAGTCTATCGACGTGAGGGATACGCGAGGAACTTTTGGCGGCACGTCATGTGCGTCCAAATGTGTCACGTTGTCGGTAGAGGTAAGTAGCCTCAATGTGTTTCAGTCTTTCATGCAATTTTCTGTTGATATATATTTTTTCAACCCTGTTGAGGATGCCTCTGCATAATCTGTGACTTAAACGCAAATAATTCTTGATTTTTAGTGAAATTTATTTGAGTATCTCCTGCTGGCATTCCAAATGATTTGCAACACTGCTGAGGATGTCTCTTCAAAAGAACTGTTCTATATAACTTGCATATAACTTGTTTCTTTCTCGAAAGCAGACAAGCACAACTCATCTACGCATATAATTCCTCATTTTTAACTGAACATATCTTTCATGATGACTTCGAAATATGTTCCAACGAACTGGAGCCATGCAGCACAATAAGGAAGATAAAAGGATCATTTGATACCTTCAATAAATGCGCTTTTCAATGCGATGGCTAGCCAAAACGTGAAGGTTAATAGTTGTTTTATGATTGCTAAGAGCAAGTCGTTGTCAAGACTTTGTTAGTGTTAAGTAATGTTTTTTCTTAAAGTGGAAAACAGCGTTGAGGTTACAGTGCACTTCTGCTCTCGTAAGGGTCATTGTGAGGATGCAACATTCTTTATCAAGCCAGGTACCACAAATGGGTTCGAACAGCTGATGAGCTGCTTCATTTAAGAGATTGCATTCAGTATTCAAGATTTTAAATCATGTGCAACTTGGGAGAAATTAAAACAGTATACATTACTAAACAGCGTGATGCAGTTAGCTGACACGAAGATAGCTCCAACGACTGCAATCTACTGCATTGTAATATAAATCTGTTCGACTCATGCAAAATATTCATAATATGGTGCAAGTTCTTACGGCAAAGCTTCGTTGTGTGCGAGTGTTCGTCGATCAGTTTTAATGTAAGAGTGCACTGGATGTGTTAGACAATTTAATTTTAATAATGTGGGCATGGATGTCTCCGATATCTTGTTTTATGTAGATTCGCACATAAAGCGCAAACATGGACAGCCCTTGTACGTCCAGTTGGCTCTATTTACATTGTTTGCTCACCAAAGTAGCGAATTGATGCGTTTGAATAGAAGACTGATCGCATCGTTGTTTATATCATGCACGGTGAAATGTCAAACATGCCTGCAAAAACCTCTAGCGTGACTGCATAATGGCAAAATCTGTCCGCTTTTTATGTCCAAATGTTGAAGTGCCCGTTGATGCAAAAGCATACCCAATGAACTGGGTAATTAGTTGTTGGAAAAGCACTTATAGGCTACTTATTTTTTCAGCCTTCACACATCTGCGCATCGTTTAAATTATCTCACTTATATTAAAATACCGTCCAGTATTTCCATCGAGGCGTTTAATATAAGCCAGAATGTAATAAGCTATTAGGAACCAAAAGCTTGTATTTATTCAAAGGAGGTTATTCAGTCTGGGTGCTTATGCGGAGAACATTCACTATGTAAGTGTACAAACTTAGCAGTGCGTAGAAAGATAGTATGCAGAGAACAACAGGAGGTAAACATCATGTTAATTAAAGAAGCAGACACAATTGCTTGTGTTTCCTTCTTTAAGACTGCTTCCTGCGAATTGTTTGTTTGTTCTATTGGTAATATGCTAATTAATTACTTTGCGATAACAGTGAACAAGAAAACAACCTTCAGCAGTTGAATGCTGTAAACTCATCTTCTGTTTGAAATCTTAAAGGGCTGACGCCAACAGAATTTACGGCGACGGCTCTTAATTCGTCCGCCGCATTCACATCGGTGACAACATGGGCACGTGGTATGCTGCCACTCAATTCCATTTAATTTACATGTTTTTAAAGCCCCAACGACGTTCACGATGCGGACGTCTTAAGTGTCTAATACCGTATTCTGTACCCAGGAGAGGCATCTGACAATTATTTTCCTCCATTTTCATCGGCCCTGTAAAGCGTTTCGCCGAAGTGCGCACTCTCTATACAGATGTGCGATCTCAAATAGAATAACCATCTCTGCAGTGGCGCGCTTATGTATCAAATAATGCATGCATGCATATAGGCAAGCGTTGACATATACCTGGAAAGTTTCATGACTGTCTGCTGAGAGCAAAATCTGTCGCTTACCTTTTCATAACGTGCTGGCCAAACGCAGGCCACAACTGCATAAGAGGCTGAGCACTAGTAGAAAATGACTGATGGAAGCAATGCCATATGTAAATTAGCATACTGATGCTTTTGAATATCATAATAGTCGCCTTGAGTGAATATAGGTCTTGTAAAACTGTCATCAGTTAAGCTCGCTCCTTCTTCCAAACTGCGTGTTCGACCGTATTTCAACATGCAATGTATCACAGTGAAGCACGTACTTCAGTCTATTTGTTCCTTCCCGGAATCGTGGAAGTGTCAGCTTTTTTTAAATTCCAAGATAAAACAGCAATTCAGGTCTATAGGAAAAATCGTTTTCAGGCGTTACTGGCCTCAACCAAGGTTTGGATGTGTGTGATATTTTGTTTTGCACTGATAAGCAAATTCTTGAAAAAAGTTTTTTCATTATTATTTCATTGTGCTGTCCGAATTTCGCCATTTGGCAACTATGCATATTGCTGTTAAATCGGACCTGGTCCGCATGGTGAAGATAATTTGTTCTACAAATTAACTTTTTATCTCGAAAGCCGTTTGAAAACGTCTCCTGATTGGCGTCTAATGATATGCTATTCAGGTATACGATTAAATTCACTTGGGAACACTACGGTAGTCCGTATTGGTCATGACCCATAGTAGCACCCGAACGCGTATAAAGTTGTATGTAATCCAGTTATTTGCTATTGGCTAAGAAACACTGATTGCGATGCTGTAAGACTAAAATACGCTTTTTTACTTCCCACGATTCCGGTCATTGAAATAGATTTCAACTCGTAACCAACAAATTATTGTCACAAATACCTTCTTCAAATGCGTGCAATTATTCCGTTTCGTCTCGATGACTTTTGTATCCAGGTAATTTAAATACAATTTGTGCACATATTGGGCACAAATGAATTCTCCAGAAAATCTCTCCATCGTCATATCATCTAAGTTTATCTAACGAAATTCCGAAGCCCCGGACTCTTTATACAGTGGTACTCGTCATTTCCAGTAAATCATTTCCGGAATATTATAAGATAGATAGTGCCTTTTTACCGAAAATACTGTTGGCCTAATCTAAGGTATTGTTTAATTTATACGACAGATTTGAAAAGCTTGTGGATTTGGAATCCTGATACGTTGTTTAAAAACAACCTGGACTACAAATTGCCTACCAAATCGGTTTTTTTCTTTCAAACTGTATAAATGAGTTATCGGAGTTTAACATCTGCTTTTGAATAGTAAAAGTGGTTTACAATTAGCGAAGCACATCATCATGTATTCAAGTAGTTGACTTCTTCAGAAGCTAGTTTGTGCACGTCAGAGCTCCATATGACTGGTTACTGCTTCGTCTATACGTTTACGGCCTATTCATTATAGTAATGTATCTGGTATACGTACGTGTTTACTGTGTAAAATGAAACATTTTATGTGCTGGTCAAAATTCTTAAAAGGAATCGTTTTAGGCCGTTGATAGACTTAAACGTTACTGGAAAACTCATGGTTTTACTTGCGCGACTATTTCATTTAATCCAGCGTAAGCATTTACGGCAAAGCTTGGTTGTGGCAAAGATTCTGCGAATTATTATAATTATGGTTTACCCTGGATGTTTAAAACAATATACAATTCGACGGTGTGGGAATCTGCTTCTCAGAAATCTTGCTCTATGCCAGTTTGTAGCGACAAAGCCGTGAAAATGTCTGTTCTGCGAGCTACAATTACCGAGTCAAATCCAAAGTTGGAAGGGAGAAAACAAGAGGTCCCGTAACGAAGGGTTTAATGTATGAAAAACCCAGAGTTGTCCAGTGGCCACTGGCGACGCCACAGCTGGTGTTGACTGCGTCCAGTCATACATGAGAGTCCCCGGGTCAATGAAGCAGTCGTGGGACAAACGCAAGTGGTTTCCATTCAGTGTGTAAAGATGGAGCCAAATTTTCCTAATTTTTGAGGCAACCGTATCGTCCCCACGGCGAATGCCCGTCTTGCACACACATTAGCATCGGCAACATAACACTCCATGAAGACCAGAGCAGCCTTTGGGCTCAGGCTCAGCGCGATGATCCTCATATAGGCCCCATCTACTACAGAAAACTAGGCGAATCACGGCGTTTGAGTGGACCCCAGCTTCGAGGTTTCAGTTACGAGACGCGCGTTCTGTGGGATAAACGTTTTGTAGATAATGGGGTATTGTTCTACCGCGACAGTGATCAGTATCCCCGGCGTATCATTCTACCGTTATCCATGACCGATGATGTCCTCACGCGAATACGCACTCAGCTAGGGCACGTAGGAATCCATAAGACCAAGTGGGTCGTAAGGAGGAGATACTATTGGCCCAACTTAAGATGATATGTGTGGGATTTTATTCGGTATTGCGACTTGTGTAATCAACTAAAGCCGCCACCCCACTTGAACTGAGCTCCCCTTTTAACCAATCCTGACAGGCTACCTCAACGAACTCGTTGGCGCTGACATCATTGGACACATAGCTCCATCAGTCCGGGGCAACCGTTACATTCTGATCATGGTGGCCTTCTTTACGAAAATGGCTAAAGTGGAACCAGTGCACAATATGTCGGCGGAAACAGTCGCTCAGGCCGTTTTTAATGGTTGAGTATGTAGATGGGGAGCCCCAGACCAAATTCACTCAGATCGAGGAACTTCATTTGAAAACGCAGTTCTTCACAGTCTTTGTAAGTACTTACGGATAAACAAGACACGCGCTACTGCTTACCGCCCGCGGTGTAACGGAGAAGTTGAGCGAACGAATAGGACGCTAATCGGATTGTTAAAAGCCTTTGTTGACCGTCAGGCACCCTTCACGTGGGACGATGCCTTACCCGCATGCATGCTCGCACACCGTTCCACGATTCACCCCTCAACCCATTAGTCGCCGTTCGCTCTCACCTGTGGTCGGGAAATGCGGATACCGTGATCAGGAGGGGCATCTGCGCGAGTATTAAAGGAGACAAGATAATCGAAGCCTAAAAGTGTAAGGAGACGTAAATTTACGCGATTAAAATCACCGCATAAGAGAGTAAGATAGTCGCAGGATAATATAGCAAGTTTTTTGTGAGAGGAAGTCGCGAAAACGGATTAATGCGCCTTCACAGGAAGAGGGGGGAATGTAAATACTAACAAATATGATGCCTTTAAAATAACTTAACAAACGGGGCTTATTATATGCATACATAAACGGCGATCACATCTATCAAATCATCAGAGTAAGAAAAAAGGGACTTACAGTCTTTACACCAATTTTCATTAACGAAAATGGTAACGCCTCCACCTCTGCCACAAGATAAAGATTTTCTATCTGTTCGAAAGCAGTAGAAGGATGGGGGAGTAATAAGTTGCGAATCAATGTCACTATTAAGACGCGTCTCTTGAAGGCAAACAACCTCAGTTTTGCTGTGTGCTTTTTTCGACAAAAGTAGCTCCAAATCATGGGTTTTGTTGAAAATAGAACGACAGTTTGTCGACAAGAAGGCAGGAATTGACAATTTGTGATTCGGCTGACGTTTGAATGCGAATTGCCAGACAAAACGGTGTTTTCTCCGATGCATAGGCCGCTGTTGACGAATATTTGATAAATTCAACAGAGAACGATCACAAATAGGACATATTGGTCGTAAAGTACAACAGTTTGCATCATGGTCGTTCGTAAGTGAAATTGACAATTTAATTCGTTCAAAAGGGTGCTAGCGTACTGTAGAGACGACCTCATAATCTTAGCTCAAACAAACACAGGATGCAAAACAGTTCGATATATCGAAGAGGAAGGCACAATAATGTACAATTAGTAAAAATCCACACGTGAATGGACAGCTACAAACATGGCGGCTCAAATTCAAAAGCCCGCCTCATGTGCTTTTCGATATCTCCAATAACTATTGGAGATACCCTAATAGCAAGCGAGCTCGCCGCGAGCTGGCGTACTCTGGGGGGGTAGTGGGTCTTTAGCCTGCTCGCGATTTGATTGGTTCCCGGGTCGGCTGCGCCGGCGTCGCGAAGGGCGCAAGCGGCCGCGCATACTTGCACTTGATTATCGATTAGCTTCGGTGCCCGATACTCCTCCGGCTCTCGCCGGTGCCACTTTTTGCTCTCTCACGCTGCACTGCGCACGCCGTGTCTCGCTCTACGCTGACGTAGCCTACCCTAACTGTCTTTGACTTTGTGTTCCCTCATTATAATGAGGTATCCCTCAGAGGCTTCCAACTGTTCAGAAGAGACAGGAAAAGCCGAGGTGGAGGAGTCGCTGTCTATGTTAGTTACAACTTAACCGCGGTCCCTGAACATAATCTAGAAACAACAGCGGCAGTGCAATTCTTATTTTTAACTATCTCCACTAAATAAGTCAGGCTACTGGCGCTTGCAGTTGTATATCGTTCCCCAAACCAGATTTCCGAACACGATACTCGTCTCCTAAGAGAACTGAAAAGACCTGCTCGAACAGAAGGGTCCTTATTGTCGGGGACTTTAACGCCTCCAATATCGACTGGCAAGCTTGGATGGTTTCGGGTACATCGAACACATTTGGATAACATTTGCTTGAAATGGCAGAAGAAAAACTACTATTTCTATGTATGTATCTCTCGGAACACGTGTTAGGGAAGGGAAACGTTCAACTTGCCTCTACCTGGTGCTCACTCCAGATGAGGAGAGTGTGCTGGATATACAATATCTCCTGCCAATTGGTGTTGGTGATCATATTGTGATGCTCTTCGAGTATTCCATGTTCTCCCAACCTAATTCACCTGAACAATTGCATACAAATATCTGGAAGGGGGATTTTTTAGCATGCGAAAGCAAGTCTCAGCAACACCGTGGACAACCATATTGCAGGGAATAGTTAATGACTACTGCAGCACGTTCAGCTCACTGGTCATAGGAAGCGTTAATCTAAACTGTCCAATAAGACGACGGAAAACAAGCAACCGTCCGCCGTGGATAAACCGGGAACTGCAAACAGCGTTTAAGAGGAGAAATAAAGTGAAAAGACGCTATCGACAAACAGAGAGTCCTGAACACCTGAAGGAATACAAGCGACAGCGGAATGTGTGTAAACTCGAGGTTAATATACTTCGAAGCAACTATGAGCTAGACATATTACAAAATTCCCTGAAGCATCCTAAAATCCTCTATATTTACATACGTAATTGACTAAGCAATCACGACCCGATTCCAGCGCTAAGATCCCAAAACGGAGTAATTGAGACAGATGACCACCTGAAAGCATCAGCCTTCTCCAATTTCTTTCAGTTGGTTTTCAGTCATGACACAAACCCTCCTGCCATGCCTTACCTAGACCAACGACCAAATTCTTCCAGTCCTGCATTGGAAGACAATATTTCTTCTCACTCACGTTGATAAAGACCGAACTACGTTGGCTGAAACTTGCCAAAAAACCTGGTCGAGATGGAATTCATCCACTTGTCCTCCGAGAATTAGCTCATTTACTGTGTGAGCCGGTATCCCTGATATTTCGGAAGTTCATGGAGGACGGCGAACTCCCGGAGGAATGGAAAACGGCCCATATTTCTCCAATCTATAAAGGATGATCCGGGCTGGAGCCCGAAAGTTACCGTCCTACTAGTTTAACCTGCATTCTATGCAAGGTAATGGAGCGACTTATTAAAGGGCATTTAATGTCGTATCTGGAGCAGAGGGACCTGTTATGTGCTGCTCAGCACGGATTTCGTCGTGGTCACTCCTGCCTTACAAGCAGTCTTTACTCTCAGGAAAAATGGACAAGAACCATAGACCAGGGCTATCCAGTGGACGTCATCTTCTTTGACTTTAAGAAGGCGTTTGACTGCGTTCCTCATGGTCGACTCCTACAGAATATTTGGGAGTGTGGAATACCGAACAACACTTTTAAGTGGATTAAAAGTTTCCTGTCATGCAGGCTCCAAAAGTGATCGTTGGAACCACTGCATCCGAATGGGTGCCAGTAAAAATCGGCGTTCCGCAGCGCTCATTCTTGGGTCCTCTCTTATTCCTCATTTATATAAATTTCTGTCCTGCAGACCTTGAATGCGCCGGCATCATGTTTGCAGATGATATAAAGATCTGGAAAACAGTCAGCTGCGTTGACGGCGCGCAGAAGCTACACGAAGATGTTACTAAGCTAGCTGCGTGGTTAAGCAAGTGGCTTCTAGCGTTTAATGTATCCAAATGTGTAGTCTTGCGACTAGAATCTGGTCGGAGGCGCTTCCCAAAACATCAGTACACCATAAATGGGGCTCCATTAAAACAAGTGAACGCGCACAAAGACCTAGGTATCTGGACATGCTCAAACTTGCTGCCCTCTCAGCACTGCAAAGAGTCGTCCAAGAGGCAACCAGCATCATGCACTGGATAAGGTGTGCCTTTAAAATCTTTCCTCAAGAACTCTTCTCATAGATATTCGACACGTTCGTCAGACCGCACTTGGAATACGGAATGTCATCATGGATGCCCTGGATGATGAAACGCAGTGATGCCATTCAGCAGGTGCAACGACGGACCGCAAAACTAGTGGACGGTCTCAGGACTCTGTCATACCCAGAAAGACTGATCCAATTAAATTTGTTCCCCCTATCATATAGACGAATGAGGTACGACCTGTTATGGATATTCCGCATTATCCACGGACATGAAGTTCGCTCAAAACTAAACACTTCTTTGAGTTCACGACCACGAGTCACCTGCGCGGTCATCCGTACATATGCAAGCGGGAGCGTACACGCATCCGATAAACGACGACTCTCAAAACAGGACTGTCTGCGGCCAGCCATAGATTTCATTTCTTGATTTCATCTCTACTTAACACATCCCAGACTTTAAATGAAATTTTCACTCAAACTATGCAAATGACTGCACTTTATGCTGATTGTATATAACTACACCTAAAATTGCATGTATACACTGAAAAGACCGTCTGCCGCACTTTTTGCAGTCCCACACTGTGGAAACATTTTCCGTGAACAAATATGTTACTGACAAAATTTTAGTAAGGTGTGCATTTAACATTTATATTTTATGTACCGTTTTCAATAGGGTCATCAAGCGCTTTGCCTATTAACCTAAAATACAATATTAAAACAACTATTGCAAACATATGATGGCCAACTTTTACATAAATGTGCAATTTCATTATAAAGTAGTCTTCCCCTTTCATTTACCTGAATACCATTTGAAATTTTAGACATAATATGCTTGTTTTACCATATTCGAACCAATAATTTAACATGTACAATTAGCTCATAACAAAATGCCAGTGTGCTCGAAGGCGTACATGCGACGAAGTATACGCAAAAAGGAAAAAATCTGTGCCAAAGGTACACGAGGATTGGGTAGCCTTTATTGGCCTAATACGTGCGAAAAAAAACAGGAAGCGCCTTCATGTTATACGAATGTTCCTTTTCTCCAGTCACAACAGTGTTCTTTGCAATGCGTTCCCCAAGATTTCGGAGGATAAATTTATCTGGATATTCATTCTCAAAAATGTGTTCCGCTGCTATTGTAGCTCTGCTTAAATAGCTTCAGGTGAGCAAATGCGCCTCACTCTAGCTGCCAATCCCTGGACTAGATTTCGTTTGATGTTGAGGGGTACAAAACTGTGGAAATTAATGTATTGTCCCGTCCAGGTTTTCTTTCGTAACACCCTACGCAAAAAGGCAAAAATCTGTGTCAAAAGTCCACGAGGATTGGGTAGGCTTGATTGGCTTAATACATGAAAAAACAGGAAGCGCCTTCATGTTATACGAATGTTTCTTTTCTCCAGTCACAACAGTGTGCTTTGCAATGCGTTTCCAAGATTTCGGAGGATAAATCTATCTGGATATTCGTTCTCGCGAAGTGTGTTCCGAAGCTATTGTAGCTCTGCTTTAATAGCTTCAGGTGAGCAAATTCGCCTCACTCTAGCTGCCAATGCCTGGACTAGATTTCGTTTGAGGTTGAGGGATACAAAACTGTAGAAATTAATGTATTGTCCGTCTCCAGGTTTTCTTTCGGAACACCCTGCGCTGGATGGACCCATCCTCCTGCCTGTGTAGAAGGACATCGAGAGGAGCAGCTGCGCTCCAACGGCTGCGGAACACACTTCACGAGAACGTATATTCAGATAGATTTATCCTTCGAAATATTGGGGTACGCATTACAAAGCCCACTGTTGCGACTGCAGAAAAGAAAAGTGTATTTATGAAACTACCTTTTGCAGGGGACGCAGCGAGCGAACTAGTCAGACGGCGCTGTCACGAGAGCATTTCCCGCGACGAATATACGCGTATGTTTCACAAACTCTCCCCTCCTACGTTTGAGAAGTAATGACAGACTACCGTTTGAGGCCACATGAATGTGCATTAACTAATTCACTTGCTCCTGTGGAGCGGGATACTTCGGCCGTACAACGAGACGCCTGCTAAAGAGGGTGCATGGACATATGCCCGTTTGGTGATACCCGATCGGTTTCGAGGTCTATTCTCGCACACTTAATCGATACGGATCACTGAATCGATGCCAAGGAAGCATTTCAGGTTATCTATCGGACACCAACAAGCTTTTCTAAAGGCCGACGCCAACGGATACTAGCAACGGCTGAGGCAGTGGCCATGCCGCTAGCGAACTTAAACTTCGATGACAACTTCACGTGATGTCGACATGCCGCCTCAAATCCCTGATTACAGTGATGGGTACTGCAAATACTCAATCCAAGAACATTACGCAAAGACTCGCTTACCTCTCCCCCTAGCTCTAAGAGCCAAATCCCGCCGTCATGCGCTGGGCGTGGGAAGATCACTATTAGTGACTTAATTGCCCTTGAGACACTTATAAACTCTGTTAATTTTGTATATTTTCATTCCTTCATGTAATTGTATTGGCCTAACGAAGAGTTTTCAAAAACACGTGTTTGCCGATTTGACCTTTCAAGTGTTGCATGGGAATATTTGCGGAACTTATACGAATGTGTGCCAGAACAAATACCGTCTCATGAAATGGACTCTTGGCTTCAACTTTAGGAGAGGAAGGTATTTGTCGGTAATAACCTCATACGCATGAGGAACAAATTATACCCACCGGTAATTCGTCCGCATAACATGGAGCATTTGTTATGTATGCAAACGAGAAGGTTAGTTATAGAGAGGACATGAACTGTATACGGGAGACCGCACAAGGAGGGAGCCTTGTGGAAACTAGTGGATATATCGCAGGGGAATATCAAAGGCTGAATGGTGGTCAAATAGCAAAAAGAAAGTGTGAACAAGGATGCATGACTTTCACCGTTCGAGATGGATAAAAGGAAACAGTTAATAAAATATTGACGAGTTGAACAATTTTCTAAAAGTATCCGTCCTGGACGCGTTGGACGGGTTTGCGGATTCGGATCGATCGTTTTAGGTCGGTATTTTCGACCTCCGCTCCGCTCTTAAGAGTCAGTGGATTCGCTACCCCTAATTTAGTGCAGCTCGGGGTAGTGGAAGGAGATGGAACATACGGTTGAAATTGTGCTGCGTGCAGGCAGTAGATGTTCAGTCCTTGGGATGCCAGGATCTATATCGAGGGTTGCTGGCGGTTCGAACTGCCCGAATTCTCCACTTACCTTGCCGGTTCGGCTGTGAAATTGGGCCAGATATTAGCACACAATTCTCCCATCCGCTAACGCTAATTTTACCTTTTGCTGCTAGTTACTTCGAACTACCACTGAACACCAGCTCGTCTCGTGTTCTAGTCGCGCGTATACACTTTCAGTAGGCACACCTACTCCTGGTCAGGTGTACACATCATTTCAGGCCTTCATCTTTGTCGGTTTTCCGATGCCTCTATCCTGCATCGTGTGCGCAACTGCCGCTTAAGTACCAATTTTTGCATAAATATACGATTTCCGTTCGCCCACAACGCCTGGTCATTACGTATGTTCTTAAGGTCCCTGGTGCCTATTCAAAAGTGACCCCAAACTTTGGGAACACAAAAAGCCTCCATCAGGCAAGATGGATTAATGTGTCATCATGGTAAATCATGTTTCCGCTTTGATTTAAAGGCATATTCGTTGACATTGTAGACTTTAGGCTCTTGTCATTCTATGTGCAACGAATAATTTAAACTGTGTGTTTAGCTCTCAACAACATACTAGTATGCTCAAGGACGTACAGTAGGGGAACTAGCTCATGAAATGCACATCGAAATTCCGCAATGCGTTTTAGTTTCGAAATGATTGATTATGTACGGTCGTAAACCTAATTGTCACATAGCATAATTATGTAATATTTCAGTTACCTCGGGATGCCGGCATTCGAATGAACTTCCTTCCGGCTGCAGGCAAAAACTATGCTCTGAAAAAAATAACTACCTATGTAGCATGAATTTTTCTTAATGATTTTAAATGCCCCTAAAACTCCAATTATATTTCATGGAAAACATACAGAAATATATTCGTTCTTTTAATCCTTTCGGACAAACTTACTTCTTTTTCCGAATTTATACTTAAAGGAAGGGTATAATTCGGTTTCAGTATTGGAGGGAAAGATATGTGATGCTACTAGGCACATTCCGAGGAGGAAGATGGTAAACACTTTGGACATTCCCCTGCCTAACGTTTATAATTAAAGCTTACAAAGTTTATAGCGAATCGCTCAGGTGGGTAAATGATGTATCTGAGCATGATTTGATTATATCTTCCAGATACTATCCTCAAAAGACATGTATTTTCAGACATTCAGCATCAATTTCAGTGAATTTCAGGAAAAGTAAGTGTGTACCTCTGAAATCCGTATCGGTTATATGCAGAGGAAGTATATGGAGAAAATGGAAAGGAAGCAACATGAAGAAATACAAGTGGATTAACAAAAACTGAACAGATGAACACATAATGTCATGCGTTAACATAATGTAGTGGGATATGGTCTCGGTTTGTTGATTAAATATAACACGCAGTTGAAGCACACCCAACATGCAGGAAAAAAATATTTTTTTTAGTCTACAGGCATCGCGGTGAATGCGAGCAGAGGTGTGCGAGTGGTCCAAAATTAATACATTACATAAGTATATGCTACTTGAATATTGGTAGTAGCATCGCTATAACACTAAATTTTCAGCGTTGGTTATCAAGGTGGCCGTCGCCCGGCTTTATTGTGGTGCGCGCTCAAATGTTGCTCTAGCCTCCGTTTAAAAATATCTACGGATCCTAACATAACTACATCTTCAGACAAGGCACTCCAAGCTGCAACCACTCTGTTCGAGAAGAACTTTCGTGTGTCTAGCCGGTCACCAGTCACAAGCAGTTTAAGTGGATGGCCTCTCGAGTTAGTCGTAGTCGCCAGCTCGAAAAAGTCTCCAGATGCGAGGCAGCAGCCCTGATTGCGCAAGATGCAGAAAACTTGTATGAGGTCCCCATTTTGTTGTCTGTAACTCAAAGGAAAGAGGCCAAGATTAGTTAATCGTGCCCAGGTAAAAGTTTTGTTGCTCGCCGTTGAACGTTTTCGAGTATGCTGAGGTCTTTAGCCGTCCAGGGTCTTTATGCTTGGATAACAAACTCCAGATGTGGTCGAACGAAAGTTTTAAAGGCCTTGGCGTAGCAGTCTTCATGGAAGCAGGAGAACGCCCGTTTGACGAGGTATAGAATGGACATCGCCGACTTGGCCGCCTTTGGGCATTGCAGCGAAGCCTTAAGCAAGGTTGTGATCCATACACCCAAGTCCTTCTGGGCGTTGACTTCTTCCGGTGGTTTGCCAGTCAGACGGTAGACCGTACGGTTAGGAGAACTGGTTCTGCCGACGCGTAGAAAGTTACATGTGTTTACGTTGAACGGTAGAAGTCAGTCTTTCGACTATTGCTCGAGGTGGTCCAGATTTGTCTGCAGTCGCTCCTCGTCAACATCGCTTCCTATCGTAATTTAGATCTTTATGTCATCAGCAAACATTGCGACATCGCAATCCAGTTGACGTATGCAAGGAACAGTGTAGGACCAAGAACAGAGCTTTGGGGAACAACACTCCTAACGGCAACCTCGGCAGATTGCTGGTCACTGACGTAGACGGCATGAGAGCGGTCGAGTAAAAAACTTCAGATGGACATCAGAAGCTTACCTCGCACTCCTGCACGGGTGAGTTTGTATAGAAGGCGGTGGTGAGGCATACTGTCGAAGGCCTTTTCAAAGTCGACATGGATGGCATGCACCATATCTCTTCTATCATCAGCCCCATTCCAGTGTTCCAGACAGTAGAGCAAGTTGGTTACTCAGAAGCTGCTTTTGCGGAATCCATGCTGAAAGTCGGAAAACAGAGGGTTTTGTTCAAGGACCTGCATTAATTGTTGCTTTATTATCTTCTCCATAATCTTACAGCAAATGGAGGTGAGGCTGACAGATCTGTAATTGCTCGCATAGACCCGACTTTCGCCCTTGTACAACGGCGTAATCCACTCCGACTTCCAGTCGGGTGGCAGATATTCGGTCTCGAAGGATGTATGGAAAAGCATGGTGAGCAGCCTAGCCAATTCACCGGCGAGTTCTTTCAAACTCTTCGCCGGAATCTCATCGAGACCTGGTGAATTGTATTCCTTTAGCCTAAGTTTTGAGGGTAAGTACCTTGACCTGGTTTCTTTGAATTTTGTACACGCATATAGATGTGGGACTCTTGTCAGAAAGCGATTTCTTCCACAGCCTTCGTTTTTTATTCACTTCATTCTTCAAAGCTTGCGTAAGCCATCGAGGTCTGTTAGTTAACCTCTTTCGTGAAAGCGGACAGTGATTTGCGATCAGCTCGTGCAGAAATTCTCGGAACCGTTGCAAATCTTCGAGTATGCTTGTGGCAGCCAGCCATGATGACCGGTCTGACGTCATTGTTCAAGACCTCGCAGCCTCTAGGTCCTTCATCCCTTGCAACGAGCCGTCCCATACGGGCTGATCTGAAGTCACTCGACCAACAGTTCGGGCATGCCTGCGTCCGCGCAGTCGCAGCTGCCCATGCGGCTACTTGAGCGCGCCACCCCCTGCAACGAACAGAACAAGCCACTGGGACACCACCCCTCGGCAAATGCAACACACACTGACTGGACACCACTTGAGCTTGGCCCACGAGCCTACAACAGCGGCCGCCACCACTATCTCAGGGACTCTCGGGGCTGAGTGGACGCAGTCAACACCAGCCCTGGCTTCGCCAGTGGCCACTGACGCCTGGGAGGACAACTCCGGGTTCTGCGCACAATAAATTCTCAAACAGTTTCCTTCTGTCTCCTCCTTACTACTTGGGATTCGACATGGTAGTTGTAGCGATCAGAGCACTTACTCACACTGCTTAGTCGCTACATGCTTCTAGCGAATAAGCACTCCCACTCAATGAGTGAAATTTCAACCCTCACTTGGTCGAAATCCCCGCGCCAAAGGTGTGTTCTAACTGTCACGGGTTTCTTGTGCATGACAGAAAGCGAGAAATCCCAAAAAAGAACGACGTGGTCACTTTTACCTAGGGAGGGTAGTCATGACACCTCATCAATGCTATCATGTGACTTCGTAAGTACAAGATCAAGACAGTTGGCTTGTTGGCCTTCGCGTACTCTAGTTGGTAACATGACGTGTTGAGTGAGAAATAACTTCAGTGTCGTGTTCAGAAAACTCCTATCGAAGGTCTGTTCTGAGCTATTTGCATGGGTCGAGCTGCATTCAATATGAGGCGCGTTTAAGTCGCCCATGATCAGGATATCCGGCCGCGTAGCGAACTTCTCGAGCTCCTCCAGCAGGCGAGCGTCGGCCATGTTGTCCCGTCTCGGCGGTCGATAAACTGTCAAGACATCGAGGCTAGGCGACCTCGGCACTTTAATAGACAGCCAGATTGCCTCAGAACTGCACGAAAAGTTATCGGTCTTGTGTGGTACATTTATCCTATATTTCACGTACGTGATTACGCCTCCTCCCTGATGCCCTTTCGTACCCCTTCCAAACATCTGATAGCCAGGCAACGCCAACTCAAGTCATACACGTGTTGGGTCAACCTGGTTTCTGTTAGAGAGATTACGTCAGGGGATAGGTCACAGAGGTGGATCTTCAGCTCGTCGAACTTTGATAACAAATTCTGTACGTTGGTGTACAAGAATTTCAATTTCCGACTGACGGAAGATGTGGTTACATTTGGCTTAGCGCCTTCACTTAATATTTCGGCTGAGTGGTCAGTCGGACCGGACCTGTCCAAAGGAAGATTGAAGGATGCCGCCGTACTTGGTCGTTGTATATAAATAAATTGTTCTTCCCCTCGCTGAGCCTTTTTCTTAGTTCTAGAACTAGCTGACGACGTTTGAGCCATTCGGCTGGCGAGTAGTCCAGATAAAAAAAACCTGGGTTGGAGCTTTTAATTCTGAATCGCCTGGAGTGGATAAGACTGGCTTGGTCGCTGCCGGCCAGCGCAACTCTAAGAGGCCGGGGACGAATCGACACTGATGGATTATCCGCTCGTTTTCCAAGGCGGATGGCTTTGATCACTTCAATAGCCTCCGTGGGTTCTAAAATATTATTGAGAAGACCATGAAAGAGTGATAGGTCTTTCAAAGCCGCTCCATAGGAGTGTTTTGACTTGATTCGGGGAGCCCCTGAATAATAAAACATTTTTCTCTGTCAGTTTTTTTGTTTTCTACGGAAGTATGGTTCCCTTAAGGACGTAACTCTCTGGGTTACTCGTCCAGTATACATATTGGTAGCGTTGGCTTGGTCTAGATTGCATCGCAACTGGGCTTCCATCTTTGTGATTTCTTTCTCAAGATAGTTAACCTTGACGGCTAGAATCTGGCATCCACTGTAACATTGGCCTGAATTTTCGGCGTCTATACAGTCAAGGAGACTATGTGATATAGCTCGTCGCCAAGCTGCGGTGGCCGAGGGGGTAAGCGCAGTTGACTAAGGAAGGGGTGATAGCTAGATCGACTCCACACTCCGGCACTAATCTTTGGATGTCAGTGCGTACTTCAGTCATGCCGTGAAATTATGGAAAAGGAACAAGCCACAGCAATCGAAGCAACAACGTCGCCTGGGGCCAAATAGAGAAGACTGTGCGTATGGTTGGGTTTATCGGAGAATTTCAAGAATGCAAGGCCTGGAGGACGGCTTAGATAAAAAGTTTTGGTAATATACCAAGTGGACAAATCTAAGCAGCTCAACAAGCAATGTAGCCCTTATGCAGCCCCTTGTGCAACAACCACCCGTTTCTGCTTTTTTGTCTCTGATGATGGATTCGAGTTGGAATGCGAAACGTCAGGCTAATAAAGCTCTTGTCCCGGCGATCGTGTCTCCTTCTTCAAGTGTAGAAATTATCGACTCAGCCTTTAGTTTGTCATGTTCCAAAGGTACGGTGGACAGTTCGAGACGATATGAAGGATTCGTAGGCTGTGTTGTCTAGGCTCAGATTGCCAGTAGAATCGCCAGGTTTGCAGAAAATTGTCCAAGTCGTACGATAAGGGCAAAAATGACAGCAAGGTTGAGGGCAGTAGACAACAATGCGTTTTGGAATCCAGTTTCTGATGCAGAATCAACTGTTCCCAGTGAGGAACTCGATTAACAATGTCCTTCTGGATCCTCAAAATTCAAACCGCGCGCGAGGTATTTGTTTTCAAAAAAACATTTCTCAAAACACTCTATTGTTTCTTTCAGCGTAACATGAAGAAATCCAATCCTTCCTCCGCCGCTCTTCAGAAACTTGTATAATTGCAACAGACAGTTTGGTCGACCTATGTGAATTCACGAAGATTATTCATCTTCGCGAAATATACCGAATTAGCTCATTCATATAAATCTTCTTAGACCGAGCATTGTATTTATCTACGCCGATCAACCAGTCATCGGACGGCCACGAGCCAACTATACCACATTGACCGTCTAATCAACTGCTTTTGGTCGCGAGCACGTGGGCCTAGGCTGCCAATTATTACCGCGTTAAGATTCCGCCTTATCAAACGCGGTTAATTTCAGGAGCAAACCCGAGATTTCGCAGTATGCCGCCGAGATAATGCAAATCCTATATTTGTGAAGAAGACTCCAATAATATGGAAAAAAATCCGATACGACGATCTCATCCAGAATGAGTCTTACTCATTTAAGTTCGCTGCATTTATTGTCGGGTAAAGGACATTTACGAAAGTACTATGTAACTCACATGCTACCTGAACACAAACGTGTTTTTATTCTAGCTCCCTGCTTGCAGGGAGAGCATGTGCGTTCCCCATCAGCAACTTCAATCCGAGGAGGGAAAATGAATGCGATGCCGTAAAGCAGATAATGACGTAAGTTCGTAAAACAGGAATTAAGGAATGTTTGAGACTTGGTTCCGTCAGAGCATGTTCACTAACAGACGTACCAACAGACTCCATGGGTGAAGCTGGGGAATTGTATTGGGGCCTCCATTTTCCAGCCAAGAACACACATGAACATTTAGCCGTTAGGTATCCGTCACGACAACCATCAGGATTGTGCGTCCTGCTACGAAAGAACAGGGTCAGACTCTGAAGTCTTTCCAATTAGTAGCTGAAATATCCACCGACAGTAAACATTGACCCACTAAAACTCCATAGACCTTAGATGACTGAGCGAACCCCTGTGCGTTAGTCAGGTTTTTTCCTTGCTCGAATCGCCTGATTGGCGGCATATGCCATCCTGCAGATAACAGTCACTTGTTATCTCTGCTCTTAACAGCAGCATCCGTCAACTATGGCATGCATGTCGTCTCATGGAATGCTGTCTGAAATTCCAGACTGTGTTTTCAATTTTAAAATATCGCTTTAGTGGGATTGCCATATTAATAGCATGCTGCAGTATGGTAAGGTATTTCAGTGAAGTCGAGAAAAGGTCTGTTGAATGACCTTTTTTACCTAGTGCTTGTATAAGCTCTATTGTCTAAAACATTGCGGAAAATGCATGTTTTGCCATCGATGTTTTGCACCCTAATAAATTCAAGTATACTTTTTGGAAATCCTCATGACAAAATTCGTTTTTTTTTCTGCTTTTAAGTGGAAAGGTCGCAGTCTTCAAGTACTATGCGTGAAAACGAATTGTCGTTTGGTTTAAAACACGTTCTGAATGTCGATACACCTTCAGTCACATATTCCGAGTCGCAAGCTGTAGACTTTTAATGCGAGGAAAATCGGACATTTTAAACTCTGCGGAGAAAAGTGTCTTCAGAAAAAAATTGAGTTATTCTCGTGAATTTTTGAGTTGGTGACGCCAACCCGTCGTCAGACGAAATAAACGGTGAAGAAAGTGAAATGAGCAAAAACATGGTTGACGTGACAGGGCAGCCACTGACAGGCAAGCAAATAATGTACGAAATGCCGGTGGACACATAATTAGGCTAGGATCCGTGGAGGGAGGGGAGAGGGAACTGTTGCGGCTTTCTGTGTTGGAGGGTAGGGTGGATGATGATACAATGGGACTACGGACAGTGGAATTAATGTTCGTCTATCCGGCATGCTGGCAGAGGTCAGTGAGCCATCGTAGATGTGTTAAGGATTGCAGTTGCGGTTCGCTTTGTCTGGGGGGTGACGAAATTGTCCGATTATACATGGTCCAGTGTGGTTTAGCGGCTGTTGTTAGGTCGTGGACGCAAGTCAGTGAGTCGGGCTCGCAGAGCTTTTTAATGAGTGTCCAGATCGACATGGCGATTGATGCCAGGCCTCGAGGAATTCTTGGGCCTTTTTGGTGTTTTCCGTGGCAACAACTTCAGTTCCTTCCCAGTTGAAGCGGTGGCCGCATTCACGGGCGTGCGCAAACACGATAGACAAAGGTTCACATCGTCGGATGGCTAATTTTTGTTCGTTTATACTCGACCCGAGTCGTCGGCCTGTATGACCTATATAGCCGCAAGAGTTGTTGGCACCCGCATTGCGGTAGATAACATTGGTCTGCTGCTCTTTGGGTAAAGGGTCTTTTCCTCGAGATAGCGTTGCGCTTATGACATACGGCTTATGAGATTTTGTAATTAACCATGTCGGCCACCTTATGTATGCGTAGACTATAGGACCTGATGCGGTGTTTTGTTATTACATAATTCACGACCAACAAAATCATCATGACAAGAAACTTCTTTTAAGCCGAAAGACACCCTTCCTTTGAGTAGGAAGCCTTTGGAATACGTCATGTTTATCAACTGAGTAAATATAATACATTTTGGACGTTTTCATAAAAATGCAACTGTATTTATAAATGGCTAAATACCATGGTAGAAGGTAGTCACTTTTACAAAAAGTACTATTTTCAAGTCGTCAATGAGGGACTGGTTTGAAGCAGGAATCAGGGCATGACTGGACTATAGTGATGATAGGCGACACGTTAATTAATTTGGCAACCCAACCTAAGTAATATTTTTCGAATTGAAGGCGCCGTTCAAAGTTTTGTTAAACATTTAACGAGATAACACGTCTTCTGCAGAATACGATATCAAAGGGGACATATCCGTCCAACAGCTTATCTAATGAAATTATTCTCTGAATTCACGCTTATAGGGTGAAATTGTGATGTACTCCAGGCATTTAAGGACGTCAGGTCTTTGGGTAGCACCCGAGCCAACTTTCCTCTTGTCCACTTCGCAGTGCGAAATATTCTGGAAGTAGGAATCAATTTTTGATAATATATTCAAGGCTGGCCATCTTATCAATATAAGGAGAACAAGCCATATGATGATACTTATTAGCAAGATTATGTCCCAATATGAGCGATTATTGGTCAGGGTAGAAGGAAAACTTTCATGAGTGTCGTGCACAATAGCAGAAGCAATCTAACCTCCGGTGGTTTTTTTTGTTACATTTTTCCTGCTTCCGTTTTAATAAACCGGGGTTAGTCTACTGAGTTTGTTTTCTAGGTGCTCACTGCTTGCAGGTTACCTATTTCATGTAGAGATGTCTTCAATTATTCACATACGATAGGTTGATATTTGATCAATATCCAATTTACTCGTGATTACGCTTACACTAGTGCCCTCTTATTCGGTTTTTCTGTCAGCCTCGATAACTGCTCAGACTAAATTTTGCCGCGAAGGAAAACGGCGCTTAAAATTCAAGCACATGTTTGGCCATTTGCACATATCGCCTTCATATTTTATATGAAATTGTCTTAATTAGACTTGATAAATTAGAAGAAGAAACACAAACAACACAAAGAAAACGAAGTAAGGGGCGTATGTTGTGTTGTTGAGCCACGGTTGGTCCATTTCTACATCGTGCTATTGCAAATTTAGCACCTTGTTCTTTGGCGGCCAGGTTAGTTCATTAAACTAAAGTATCAATCCTAGGGATTGTTGGCAAACGATTATCTAATTGTAATGTCGTTGAAGGCCTAACGGAGTGTAAAACAGGAAAATCTGTCCCCGACGTCTGTCATTTATAGAAAAATAAGCAATGCAGCAAATGTTTTGATCAAAAACATAAATCAACAGTAAGTCCTAACGCGTAATCTTTCGTCTGTCTGCATAGTGATAGAGAGAGACACGATTTGACGTTCAGATTTATTATCATATTTACCAATTCCCCGAGACGCCGATCTAAAAAAATTTGGTCTCATAGTCCAAGTTGTAATCCTTCCGTTTTTTCAATATCCCCACTCCCAGATGTCAGGCAAAGATAAGTTCAATATCCGATCCATGCTTCCCTATGTAAGGTACGGTAGCTAGATGATGGCAAGTATTTCGTAACTTTAAGCCGACATAAAGAACCAGACAGCATTTTATGAAGCCCACACACCCGATGATTGTGATTGTACAACTAATGGTAGTCTACTGCATGCCATTGAAACTTTAGTATGCAAACCGTGTCGGTGAACCGGGGAAGCGATGACATAACAATAAAACGGTCGAAATCCACAGCAAGACTTGAGAAAACGAAAGTGGTGGTCCAAAACAAGGATAGGATGACCAGGCTAATACTGCAAAACTGACAATCGACCTGAATTCCGTAATGTTCCGTATACCTACATTTCATCTGTTAGTCGACTGGCTGCGTTCAAATAAAGCACGGAGAAAAGAGAAATACGCCAATCATAGCTGACAATCGGTGCACGGGAAAAATACAGGCGAAGTGAGGAAATAGACAAGGCGCCATTTTAGCAAGCCCTAGTGCATAAAGTAGCCTGCTACTACTCCCAAACTGGTTTGGTGTATAATAACAGTACTGTACATCGAACGTAGAAGACTCAGTCGTAGAAGCAATATGTTTATGGACATTCCTTTCCCGAGTCGTACTCGTGTCAGCATCAGCGATGGCCACAAGGGGGCGTGATGGCTATGCAATATCTGAACAGGACGCAGTTACCATGCAACCATGTCTGCTCTTTCTTTAAAAAGCTTACTAGAATTCGCCACTTCAAATCTATCGGCCAACCGAACATGTCAGATACCTGAGGAGATTTTTTCATCATTCCTCTGTTAAGAGGAAGCTGTATTCGCACAGTCCAAATCTTTCGTGCCTTAAATTGAATGAACTTCCGCGGACTAAACTGGGTAAAAAGAAGAGGTCCTGCCTTGCCAGGGGTGTTTTTCAGCTTTCATATATCACAACAAGGGAAATTGTAATATAAAAAATGTTTTTCACAGCGATCAGACATTTTTGAGGCCTTCTGTGCAAAACATTGTCAGGCATCAAGTCACCCTGCCGCTTACGTAAGATTGGCTCAGCAGACTTTCCTCAAACATTTCGCGCCATTGATGCAGTTCACTGGATCGAAAACATCTACCGCTGACGCCATTCGTCTGGTGTAACTTTAATGTTCACCCGCTATATTTAGCACGCCTACCCAGCCATTGCCAACCGAACATAGCTGATGACCGTTTGCGGTTATTAGACAAACACCCGGACACCCGCTTCACATTTAGAAGTAGTCTTGAAAAAGATGTCGTATGACTGATCTAAACAGCACTGAGAAACCCTGACCGACGTCTACCATAAGACTATTTGATCTCAACATTCCAAAACCGCAGTGGTTGCAGCTTGACTATCGAATATATGTTCCACCGTGCACTTCAAGTGGCATGTTGGCACATTGGAGATGCAGCCGCATGTTAGTAATATCCCAATCGCAGAGTGGCTCTAACAAACAAGATAGTTATTAGTTCTAATTAGGACTATAATCGGTCTGCGCAATCGTGTTGGCTATCCCTATGCTTGTGTGATTTGGTCGATTCTCTCCTGTTCATCTCGTATAATCCATATCCTGCCCCTTCAATATAAGATTATCAGGCAAAGAGTATGCAAGAAGGACTGTTTTAACATCTTCCGCCCCTTGGAGGAAAAAACACCTACCAGTGTTTATTACAGTGTTTTCGCATTCTACGTTAAACTATTAAATATAGGATGGCCTATCAAATTCGTAATGCACCGTGCCTTTTGGAGATGCAACCGTGTCTTATGCATATTCTAATCACCATGTGGCTATCCCCAACAATCTTTTGATTTTCAGTTTAGATAAAACGCGCTCTAGACGATCGTCAGCTTTAGTAAACTCTGTCTCAAATTAAGGAAAGTATGCGTGAGAACATATAAATGCTGCTATTCTAGATCACATTCGCGGATTATGATGAGGCAAACGGCATTCACCAAATTCACTTTCTTTGATATTCAGCATTAAAATGTCGCCATAATTTAGGCACAGCCTAAGCATTTTGACCTTTTGTTAACCCATTGTCACATTTTTTACTGAACTACAGATTGCTTCTTCGGTGAGATGTGATGGACACAATACTAAACCGGGTTTGGATTGGGGGTGAGGGTTAAGGGGTTTTGGTTAAGAATACGAGTTAGGAGTAGGTGGGAAAGATTGGGGTTCAGCTTACGAGTTAGGACAACTATTGTTTAACCACTTAAAGTACAACCACGCACTCCTAATAGCTTTTCTATTGTAGACAATTACTTGACCTCGTCGACTGTGCGTTTCCCGGCCTTACATGTAAAACCCCTATTACCACAGGTCCCGTCTTACAGATGGCCGGGAATTGTTTACTTCAGCTTGGACTATAGAACCACATCTGACCGTTTCTTCATTCGCTTATGTCTAATGTTTCATCAAAAGTATGGTTTTCAAGACAGTGAGGTTTGGTTTTTAGAAAAAATGCCTTTTCCACAAAGTACCGGCCGTCATCAAAGCACCATCGTTTATAAAGCGAAAGACGCGGGAAGAAATGGAAAATCGAAATGGAAGGAATCATGAGCGGATTTAACAGAACCAAAAATTTTCCTAAGGAAAAAATGTACAGTTGTGAAATAGAGTTGTGGCCTTAATCATGAACGTTGTCGCAATTTGCGAATAATTGCTAATGACGCACAAACATACACCGATTCATTTACTTAATATCCATCTTAATTAATAACGCCTTTGATGGAAAAAGTTAAAAGAAATCCATTTAACCTGTTTGGAATCTTTTAGATCCTAAATGGAGGAAAATCACAAAAAACGGCAAAAATGTTTGTAAATGTGTAAAAGTCAAATTTATGCGTACGGAATATCTGTTCATATAAAACTGAAAATCTGTTCGTGCAAAAATCTTAGAAAATAGGTGATCGTAAACAGAACAACACCTTAAAATGTTTATTCGTGAAATTTACATTTAAATATGATTTGAAAATTATTATTTGTGATAGGTTTCAAAAACAGATTTTTGCATATTCTCCTTAGTAGGCCTGTCGTAATGATAAGCTCCTTCATAAGGCACATGTTGCGAAGTTGGTCAGTCACTAACAAATTTACTTATTAATTACAGGCGCAACCGCAAACTTGCCGCTTTGTATATATAACGAGACATTGTGTTCACTGTAATTATTTCCGCGTTAGCTTTGTTCTGGGTTACGTTTCATTTGTTAAAAAATAATGTGTGTCTTTTCCAAAAAACGCCATCTGTCGCGTACTGAAGGTAAAACATAAAAAGTACCGCTTACCTGCCTTCGAAAGGCGGCCGTGCACCATACCAAACTATCGCAATATTCGTCGCCTGAAGTAATACAGTGATCGACCTTGGGATTTTGATAAATTTTTTACAAAACATCCCGTCCAGCGCACCTGAACCCATAATAAGAATTCTTGTTATCGGAATTTACCGAACGTAGTTAACAGATGATCTCACATCAAACAATTATCAATTGCAAACTGACCAAACTGTGAAAACCTCAACGCCTCGGTGGGATTCGAACCCACGCGGTAAGAGGAAGGCTTTAGCGCAGCCGGCGGTCTAACCACCTGAGCTACGAGGCCCCGCCGGACAACGCGAGTTTAATCACATTTGTGTCAAGTTACCCGCCCAACCTACCGCAACGTCTGGAATCCACCAAATCTGATACAGTAAGTTGACTGCCCAAGCAGGATTTCCTAAGCAATTCACCTAGAATCCACCAGATGTCTACCAGGCTCGCGTAATTCATTGATATTTTGGCAGATTTTGAATAATTCATATTGACCCAACTGTGAAAAACTCGGCGCCTCGGTGGGATTCGAACCCACGCAGTAAGGGGAAGGCTTTAGCGCAGCCGGCGGTCTAACCACCTGAGCTACGAGGCGCCGCCGGACAACGCGAGTTTAATCACATTTGTGTCAAGTTACCCGCCCAACCTACCGCAACGTCTGGAATCCACCAAATCTGATACAGTAAGTTGACTGCCCAAGCAGGATTTCCTAAGTAATTCACCTAGAATCCACCAGATGACTACCAGGCTCGCGTAATTTATTGATATTTTGGCAGATTTTGAATAATTCATATTGAACCAACTGTGACTGCTTGGGCAGTCAACTTACTGTATCAGATTTGGTGCATTCCAGACGTAGCAATAGGTTGGGCGGGTAACTTGACACAAATGTGATGAAACTCGCGTCGTCCGCCGGGCCTCGTAGCTCAGGTGGTTAGACCGTCGGCTGCGTTAAATCCTTTCCCTTACTGCGTGCTTTCGAATCCCACCGATGCGCCGAGTTTTTCACAGTTGGGTCAATATGAATTATTCAAAATCTGCCAAAATATCAATGAATTATCAATTTATGTCCTATCAATAGGCCCTGGGTGTTAAACAAGAAAGTCAGTCAAAGGTGTTTGATTCTGTCGAATACCTAGGCATAGCGGAGTCTTTCGTTTAAATTTAGCTTCGTCATCACCGTGAACAACACTGTGCAGACAGAGAAAGTAGGCTTATGAATGGTGTGTAAACTGCCAATAGAAGCGAAGAGAGTAGGCCCAGTAAGTAGTCTTAAAGAAGCAGACACGAGGGCCGGGACAAGAGCTTTATAAGCCTGACGTTTCGAATTCCTGCTCGAACCCAGCCTCAGAGACAAAAGCAGATACGAGTTGTTCATACATAAGGGGCTGCGGCTTTCATGGGATGCAGTCACCATGCTACCGCATACCTATGAACATTCACGGCTACCTCCTTCATCCGGGATCGTCGCACTTGGTGTGCTAATTGTGTGATGGCCGACATTCGCGTCGTTAATTGCTGCAAGTTTAATCTCGTGCGTTGGATGTTGGTGTAATGATTGCTCGACCATCTGATACACTGACCTGGTGCTGGGAAAATTGTTCACTTGTGCGCTCCCAGCGTGGCAAATTAATCTGACTAGGCGATGTCTCATCACCGAGTATGGAATGGGAAGGTCATTGCAATTGTTAATGGACTAGGGGACAGTAAACCATGACTCAAGCAGCTTCCCGCTTACGCGGTTGTCAGCTGCTGTGAGACTTTTGGCCTTGTCGAATTTGAATTTGTGGCCGGATCTCGTTGAATGAGCCGCAACTTGAGAGCTAGCGTCATTTCTACGCACCATTGCAGCGTCCTTGCTCATTCTCCTTTAGAGCTGTCTTCCGGTTTATCCAACGTAGTCGCTTTGACCGCAACTGCATCAGATCCGATAAACAAATCCTGACGTTTCTAACCGTGGCTGCGGGTCATTTGGTTTTATTAACTGACGCCTGATGGTTGCCTCCGGTTTGTGTGCAACTTCAACCCCAAGTGGTGCGAGACGGCGGCAGACAGCTCCCAAAATGTTCTTGACATACGGAAGCCCCTGCCAAGATTTGGTGTCCGTGCGGTTAGGCCTTTCGTCCCTTTTGCGTATGCACCGATTGACAAAGTTGCGCCGGTAGCCTGTGAATTTGAATACCCGTCGAGATATTGCAGTTCGACAGTCTTGACTTTCGGCTCGCTGCAGTGCGTTTCGACAGACTGATAGAGCGTCCTTACACAACTGCGTTTGTTGCGGATTAGGTGGTTGCTGTTGAAGTCCAGTACTTGCATCGTATTTGTCTTTTTCCTGAACATTTTAATCTTTATTCCACCACAATCTCCGGTTTCTAGGAACCGGAAGAGAGCTCCAAACGAGAATGACCGAAGACGCTGCAGTGGTGCAGCGAAATGACGCCAGCTCTCAAGTTGCGGCTCATTCGACGAGATCCAGCCCCACATTCAAATTCGACGAGGCCGAAATTCTCGCAAGAGGTGACCACCGCGTGAACCGGTAACTACTTGAGTCGTGGTTTACTAGCCTTCAGTCAATTAACAGGTGCAATGATCTTCCTCTTCCATACTCGGTGTCGAGACTTCGCCTACGCGGAGTAATTATCCACTCGGGGAGCGCACATGTGAACACTTGTCCCAACACCAGGGTCGATGCGTAAGATTGTCGAGCCATTATCACACTAACATCCAATGCAGATGATGAATTTGCAGCAATTAACGACGTGAGTGTTGGCCTTCAAACATTCAGGACACCGAGTGCAACGATCCCGGATGAAGCGGGGAGTCGTGAATGTTCATAGGTATGTGGTAGCATAGTGACTGCATCCTATAAATGTCACAGCACCTTGCACATGAAGCACCCGTATCTGTTTTTGTCGCTGTTGATGTGTTCGAGCAGGAATCCGAAACGTCAGGCTAATAAAGCTCTTGTCCCAGCGATCGTGTCTCCTCCTCCATGGTGTGTACACGTCAATCTCTACAGATGTAAAATCCCCCCTATTTAGTAAGCGTGACGTGTATTTCACCGGCGTGTCTTATTGAATTGTTGCACTAACGCCGAGTCAGGGCAGTAATGGCCCTGGTCTTTGAAGACTGACATCTTCAATAAACCTGGACCGTATTTTGTCAAAATTTAACTCATTCGACAATGACATTTGATCACATTTCGGTTTATTGTGGTAATGCCGCGCACATTGCGTGGTCACACGACGTCCGCTCTGACCTACAGATTACCAGGCGCAGAGAGTTCATTCATTGCCTGCAACTTGGATTGTTTCCGGCGGCATTTGAAAAGAGGCATTATGTCCTTGGTGTTACTTTGCAGAGCATGCATCTGCTAACCCAATCATATGCAACATGGGAGACCTCTCACAAGGAATCTAGAATCAAGCATCATTTTTTATCGAGGCATTTTTGTATATTTGCCATGGTCATGACAAGCTCTCTGTGGAGCATTTTCGACATCACATTCACGTTGTAATCAACAAAAAGTACACTCCTTGTGCACCTGCTGAACTTATCTGTGAATGTTTTTTTGACAGTTTCGAATGAGAATCAAAAATGCCCGCTTTATATGTCGGTTATAAAAAAATTAAAAATGCCTGCAGATGAGTAAAGTAAGTTACAGCTAAAAATGATCATTTAGACCAAATCTGAATATTTTTTTTAAACGCAGGAGGCGCGTCTGTGAAATTTGCTGCAAAACGTATATAAATGTGCTTTTCCTACCTTAAGGCGGCAAAGTTTACGCTGTCCTTAAATACAGTAGTTGCTTAAAGACAAACCGTACTTAACGCTGGGATTACAGTGACGTTTTATGTTTTACACAGGATGATATGAAGTGCGGTTGAAACCATATTAGGAACTGTAATACTAGCACCAACTGGAAGACCTACTTGGTGTAGTCCATCTTGCACATCACACATGGACAATGAAGGCGGCGCCAACTTTACCAGTCTCTTTTTCTATCGAATGAGCCATTCTACTATATCAGTAGCATTGATTGAGACCAAACAATTTGACTGACAAGCAATGAGTGTACTGATGGATTACATGTTAACCAAAACTCGAAAATGTTTCTCGACTAGAACAAAATGGCCATGAGTAGATCTGTAAAATTAATTAGCATTCAGCAGGGTTGCAAGCTTTTTCTGTCAAACTACACTTTTATAAACGGATTTTTGTAGCAATATGTGATATCAGTTTGACTGCTGATGTCCTCTAAATGCTAATAGTATTCATAAAAATGTTCAAAAATACATCTTCTCTGAAACTTGTTTATTTAAAACCCCCTCTTCTTTCCTTTTCCAATGAAGACACATGGCTCTTTGCCTTAAAAAGCATTTCCATTTTCCGAATACTCTTTTGTCCTACTTACATTTACGCATGCATCCTAGGCTTCCAAATGCGGGCTGCATAAATTCCCAAAACGGAAAATCATTGGTCTCTGCACTCATAAATAGTTGGCGTCGGCTGCACTATATTTGTTGTAAACTGTATTATAAGATGTTTTGATGCTATGCTGTATAAATAAACGTTTCAGAGATTTAAAAATCTCATGATAAAGAACCGTTTTGAAAGCAAACGACTCTTTCTTTTCAAGCAGAAAATCTGGAAGTGATGTAATGTGCTGATGATTGCGAAAAAAGGAATATTTTTGTGCGCATTTCCTGTATATAATTACATGAATTCCAAGGTTACTTGAAATCAATGGTATAAATTCACACGAAGTGCAGATTTGCACACAATCTGAAAATAACTTCATTTGAAATCCGGCATTCTGGAATTTTCGAGATGCCTCTCATCGCACTATGTCTTGATCCGACAAAAATAAGACACAATTAAGATAGCGTCGATTATTCCCATAGGGATTTCCTGGCGAACTTTATAGATTAAACACGAGTACGACCTGCCGAAGGGATCAAATGATAAGAAATCACGTAAGTCATTGGTGCGAAAACCCGCTCGCATAATGCATACGCATCGAATTTTCGAGTTTGACTACCATCAAATTGCGAACTGCTTTGACGCATACGAAAAGCAAATCTCGAGGCTTAATGTCCAATTTAACATCGGGCAACACTTAAATAAACTTGAATGTGGCGTCAATGTTTCTGATATGCAGGCCAAGGATTAAGACCTTGCTTATACCAGTTAGAAACGCACTAGACTAATGGCTTTGATGTCAGTACGTCGGTTGAGCCATTCCTTAAACGCAGACCGTTCCCACGTTTGATCTATCAGCGCGTTATGCTGGAAACGAAAGAGCAGCCGGAGGTTCGGTCATTGTGAGGATCGATGTCGCTTGTACACTCCATGCATGAAGAGCGCATGTGTGTTCCGAGCAACACAGGGTTAGGCAACATATGCCCTCTCATTCATGGATATATGTTTATCAGTATCTTGCAAGTTGCTTTGTAAAAGGTAGTACCTTTTAGTGATAATATTCGAAGAACCAAATCTTAACATATTGGCTTTTATGTCACGTCCATCATGAGTAAAGAAAGTGGGGGAGTGCAGAATTCTCCAGAAAGGCAACAACATAACAGTTGATAATAACTATGAAACGCGTTAATTGTTCACGGCCCGCTTACGAGTAAGTTCTTGCATCACAAAACGTAAAGTATGAATGTATCTTGAGTTGCCATGGACGATCCGCTTGTCCAATATGAAACGCAGGCATCAGAACTGGGGTCGGAAACTGACACAGTACATTTTAACTGATGTACTATGCATACACTGGGAACGGCTCACTGACAATGAAACACTCTAAAAAATCTGTTTTTGAGACAGAGAGGCAGAAGAAAACAACTAATGAAAAAAGGAGAGCTGTTTAGCAGACTGTTTTTTTAATCGACCTGTCATAGTTTCTTGCAGTCCCTGTATTACTTTTTTAGGTAGAGACAGCGTACTTACGCAATTAGCAAACTGTCACAATAACAATATGTGTAACCAATAAACTTCCGGCGAAAACTATGCACAGGCTATATAAACAGTGTAGAATCGCCCAAATACAGCCCAAATCGGTAAATGTGCACCAACATGTCGAGTCTTCGCTGGTTGATCCTGCTTCAAACGTTTACCCTTCTGGCTGCTCTAGCGCTTGGTAAGTTTTGCAATTTCCTTGCAATGTCCACCTGCGTTAATTGCCGCATCATGTTTGGCTTTAACCTGATAAACGCTTGTAATTTTTTGTAGCGACGTGTTCGCGGCATTTTGCGTTCATGATAGCTTAAACGAAAATCCAAACACGCCAACCCACTCGAAGTGCACGACTAACCGGTGATTTAATTATTTTTCTTTTAGCGAACGAAAAAGGAATAGGATTCTATGACCTGTGCCAGGGGGAACATACAAATTGTTCATTTGTGGCCTATAGACTGGAAGATAAAACCAAGGGCAACGGTTGCCGTGTTGCGTGTGGAAGGCAACGAGGTTCGCTATTTCATCTGTGCTCGCTCTTGTTATATCCAATTTGGGCTAAATCCTTTTATATTTATTTAAAAACTCCCCTGCTCCCTATCGTTGGTCCTACAAACAGCAACTTTTTTGGCGTTTTAGGGGAACTAAATGAGACCATGACAGTGTACTTCTGTGAGGAACGCAATCAGACATGCCAACCGTACGCAGTCTATGGAAGAGAGGGATATGCCGGGAACTTTGAGCGGCACGTCAAGTGCGTGCAAACATGCCACTTTGTCGGAAGAGGTAAATTGCTACCTTGACACGCAGCCATTTGTGTGATTCCCTCCTGCTAGCACTTCAAACTCCTTGCAAAACTGCTGAGGATGTCATTGCATTAGACTAAATTCTTTTTTGAAAGCAGATAAACGCAACGCATCTACGCAAAGTATTACTCATTTTTAGCTGAACATAGCTCCCACGATGACTTCGAAATATGTTCCAACGAACTGGAGCCATGCAGTACAATAAGGAAGATAAATGGATCATTTGATACCTTCAATAAATGCGCTTTTCAATGCGATGGCTGGCCAAAGCGTGAGCGTTAATAGTTGTTTTATGATTGCTAGGAGCAAGTCGTTGTCAAGACTTTTTTCGTGTTAAGTAATGTTTTTTTTCTTAAAGTGGAAAACAGCGTTGAGGACACAGTGTACTTCTGCCCTCGTGAGGGTCATTGTGAGGATGCATCCTTCTTTATCAAGCCAGGTACCACAAATGGGTTCGAGCAACTGATAACCTGCTTCAACAGTTGCATGTCAGGTGAGATCTTGCATTTACCTTTCAAAATTTTAAATAATGTGTAAAATGACGAAAGTTGAAACGGCGAAGCTCATAAAATAGTGTTTTATCTAAATTACGACTATATACAAATTGTAGATGTTCCCGGCATTTAAATTCTGCTGTACAGTAATATCAATCTGTTCAGTTGATAGAAACTATTGATGAAGCATTAGAGCACGCGAGACAAACCGCATCGATTCAAGTAACTGTCTTTTATATGTACACACTGAAACTATCTATATCTCGGAAACATTTGTGGCGTGGCTCACTAAGCTATTGTATGCAACGTAAGCTACTGACTCGTCAAATGCTGATGTGATGTCTCCATGTTGCTGCCTTCACGTCTTTAATTGACGCAAACTTTGCTGACTTTGCTACTATTTTGTATACCATAAAAATTTTCTATATTGAATAAGTATTAACCGCTAAGCTTGATTTTGCGCAAGTTTTCCCGATCTGTTTTAATTAAGGAGTGCATTGGATGTGGAAGACAGTACGAAATGATGGTATGGTCACGCATGCCTCAGGTATCTTGCGTTTTGTTGGTAAGAACCTAAAGCACAGCCATAGACAAACACGGTGATTTATGTCCGGAAATCCTGCAGCTGTACGTCCACATTGCGTTATGTGAACGCCATGCCCACCTGAAATGCGAACAGACTTGCTCGGGGCGAAGGCTGACCACATTATTCTCTAAACCTATCGTGTCTAATTGTTTTATTTATCGGATAAACATCTAGCTTGACTATATGGTGGCGAAATCTCCCTCGCATATTTCGCTTAATATTGAAGCACCTCTGGTAGCATATTCACATTCACAGTTTTTGGTAATTGATATTGAATAAACCGCCTAAAAGCTAATTATTTTCTCAGCAAAAATGCTGTCAGCATTTGTATTTCAACGCAATTTCTAGCATCTCAACCAGGCCAACCAAGTCGCCCGATATGTTTTTCTAGGTGATTATTGTAAGCCAGCATGTAATTGGCCATTAGCGACCAAAAGAGCGTGATTATTTGAAGGGGAGTTATTTAGTCTGGCGCGTATGCGGAGAACGTCCAGTATAAAAGTCTACAAACTGGTCATTCTGAGGAAAGAAAGCATGCGGCTAATAACGGATGGTCAGCAATATACTTCTGTATAACTTAGAGATAACAGACGACAAACAAGTACCCAAAATTCGGCAGTCGAATGTTGTAAGATGCCTCCTCCATTTTGCATTTTGAAGGACTTGTGCCAACAGAATTTACGGCGACGGCTCTTAATTCGTCCGCCATCCGTGTTACCTGGAAAAAACCCCGCCGGTCTGGTGAACTTAGCGACAAGTACGAACTTATCCTACGCAACAGCACGCACGAGGATGAATTTACCCTACGTGTGACTGAGGACATAATTGCGGACCTTGAGCCTTCTACCACTTACAACTTGACAGTGCGAGCTTTCTGGAGCAATAACACCCCAATCGATGCGGTCGCATTCACATCAGTGACAACGCAGCCACGTGGTAAGCTAACACTCAACTGTATTAACTGCTCCATGCTTCCACACCCACAATAACGTTCACGATGTGCGCGTCCTAAGTGTCTACTGCTGTATCCTGTGCCCAAGAGGGGCAAGCGATAAGTATCCTCCCCGATGTTCATCGGTCTTTAAAGAGTTTTGCCGATTTAAGCTTTCTCTAGAGATGTGGGGTCTCAAATTTGATAAGCATTTCTGTAATGGTACGCTGATATTTCAAAAAATGCATGCGTTTAGTACACAAGCACCCGCTGCAGGCTTCATGCAAAGCACCTGCATTTACAAAAGCATTTTTCTCGAAAACGTCACGGCTGCCTTCTCAGGGCAAAATCCAGCTTTTTCTTCTTCATTATGTGCTGGCTATACGCCGCTGCATAAGCGGATTAGGACCGATAGAGATGACTAGCGGAAGCCATCCCTTATTGGTGCTTGTGAATATCAAAATTGTCACTTATGAGTCACTTATGAGCCTTTAATTATGCTGATTCATAATTCACCGGTGCATGTTTGGCGGTATTTTGGCATCCTACTAGTGCCAACTCTTTTTTTAGTTCCAAGATAAATTGAACAATTTTTTAAGGCATCTCTGGTTGTAAATTCGCATGTTCCGGATCAGCCAGGATTTAGACGTAATAATTTTTTTGTATTAGTAAGGAAATATTTTGAGGATTCCTTTTCCTATTATATAGAGTGCTGTCCAAACTTGGCCATTTGATAAAGATGTATGCCTCTGTTAAATCGAATCTGGTCCTCACGATAAGGATGAGTGGATCTACATATTAGAGTATTCCTTTTAGTACGCGTCTGATTATACTGGACACGGATATACGAGTGAATTTACTGGGAAATATTATAGTAGTCCACGTTTAAAATCGCGTATTGTAGTACCTGACCGCATGGAATATTGCGTCTAAGTCAGTTATCTGATTTATCTCTCAGATATGCTTTTTCGCTTCCCACGCTTTCGCTCGTCGGAATAACCTTTTACTTGTAGCCCAAAAATTATCATTCGTCAAAAATGTTCTCGTACAGGCGTACAAATATTTCATCGTGTCTCGATGACCTTATATATGCAAACAATTTTGAATATCAATTGTAAACATATGGTGCACTTAGGGCATTTTCCAGAAAATTCCGTGTTCGTCATGTCAGCCGTGTTTACAAATCACATTTTTGGCTACTTGCATCACTTATGAAATTTCAAAACCTTAAACATACTATATAGTGGAAATGGTCATTTCTATTTAATCGATTCCCTTTATTCGATGAAGTGGATAAAAACCATCCATTGGAAAACCTGTCGGTTTAATCCGAGGAATTGCATATCAAACGTAGGTGGTTTGATGAGGCTGTAGACTTCAAATCCTCCAATGCCAAGAGAAGACAGGCTGGTCTTTAATGCGCATCTCAAATTGACTTTTATTTTCCATTCGTCAAATGTAAGTTATTCGACGTAAATTTCCGGATGAACTATATTGCTTTGTTACTGAAGTGCAATTAATTGAAAGCGTATGAAAAAACGCTTTGTAGATGATCGAAACCTGCAGACAAATCGATAGCGGACTATGCAAACGTCGCAGCATTCATCAGCTTTACTTATTTTACTATAATTTATCCAATCTTAGGGGGATTTTGATTGTACTCAGTTAATTGCCCGCAGGAATTGCATTTAGGATACGCAGAGAGAAAATCTAAAAAAGCGTGTCTACTCAATAGCTTCCTCTGATTTTCAATTTCATTCATTTTGTTTTTAACAGAGGAGGACACAGTACCAGTCTATCAGTTGTGCAAAAAGGAGCATGAAGAGTGTGAATTTGTGCCCTACAGAGAAAAAGACGAAACCAAAGGCAAAGGCTGCCGTGAAGCGTGTGCAAAGAAACGAGGTCTGTACTTCAATCTGCACTCACCCCTGTTGCAATCAATTTAGTCTTGGTCATTTTATGTTTGTCTACAGACTCTCATGCTAAGTATATTTGTTCCTGCAAGCAACAAATTCTTTCTTGTTTTTTAGGTGGACTAAATGAGACAATGACAGTATACTATTGCGAGGAACCCAACGCAAAATGCACGCCATATGAAGTTTATGGACGAGCAGGATATGCCGAGAACTTTGAGAGGCACTTTAAGTGCGTCAGTCTGTGTCACCTTGTCGGGAGAGGTAAATTGTCTGCTTTTCCATGAGTATTTTGTGCGACGCCATTCTGCTGGTTTTCAACATACGTTGACAGTGGCAGACACGACCGATACGCAATTAATTCCCTGTTTTTAGTTCAACATAGCGCCTACAATGATTTTGAAATGTGTTCTAGCGAACTGGAGCCATGCGTGAAAATAAAGAAAATAAACGGAACATTTGATGCCTTCAATAAATGTGCTTTTCAATGCGACGGCTGGCCAAATCGTGAGTTAATATTTTTGTACTGTAATTTGTAATAACTAATCATATTAAGTTATTGTTAATGTTACGGATTTTTTTTCTCTTTAAGTTGAAAACACCTTGGAGGACACAGCATTTTTCTGCCCTCATGAAGGATATTGTCAGGATGCCTATTTCTTTAGCAAGCCGGATGACAAAAACGGATTTGAAAACCTGATGACCTGCATCAAAAATTGCACGTCAGGTGAAATGTTGCACTCAGTTTTTGAAGGCATTGAATATTGTGCCACTCATTAGAAATTGAAGCACTGCACATATCTGAACTGCGTATTTTGCAAAATGACACGCATGTATACCACTCGCAGAGGTTACTAACAACTATGACCTTTCACAAACTAATAATAATCTACTCAGTTGATAGCGATTAGCAATAGAAGTTTAGAACAGGCGAAGCATATGGGCTTATATTCAAGTAACTTAACTATTCAGAAACCAGGCTGTGTACGCTAGAGCTCGTTTTGACTGGTTACTGACTCGTTTATGCGCTTACTTCACTTCACTGATAATTGTGATGTCTCGTATGAGCAATTGTATACTATGTAAAATAAGACCTATCAAATGCTGATTTGAATTCTCGGTTAAGATGTTTTTGTCGTTGATAGATTTAAACGTTATAAGAATACCCGCGGTTTTACTTACACAACTATTTTTTTTTATTTCAGCGTAACCGTCTACGGCAAAGCTTGCTTGTGTGCGAATATTCATAGATTTAGTTTAACGTTTGATAAATTTGCATGTTTGAAACAATATAAAATTAAATGGTGTGGGCTAATATTCCTCTGACTTCTGGTTTTGTTAGATATTACTTAAAACACAAACATGGACTGAACTGCTGATTGGTGCGGATAAGATCTTTACGGATACCTCAATGTTGGTGCATTCGTAGACTGTTTTCACGTGAAAAGCTGCTTGATGTACTCGCGGGGAGAACTGACCGCATCACTTTTTGTCTGTCATGGTGAAATATTTAAATCTGAAGCAAACGTCTAGCACAAATATATGACGACGAAATTCCACATAAGTATAAAGGTTTCGGATGCGTATAGGCCATAGTTATTGTATATGCTCTTAGGGCTCAAAATGTCTATACAAAAGTAACTCCAAGACTTGGGAAAACAATAACTTCCATCAGAATTAGACAAGACGAATTAATATGTCATCATAGTAAATTATACCTCCGATTTAATTAAAATGCATGTTACTTGAGATTTTAGATAGAAGGCTGTTATTCTACTCTTTACAACGGATAATTTGAAAGGTGTGTTTAGGCCCCAACAAAATATTAGTATGCTCGAAAACGTTAACACTCAACATTTTATGCAATGAAGGATACATCTGTGCTATTAGTCCCAGACGATTGAATGGGCTTTTATTGGGATAATAAATGCGCCATAAGCGGTATGCAGTTTCATGTTACATAAATGCGTCATAGAACTAGTATCGTATCGTGAAGTAGAATCTAGGCCTCAACATTGGGAGAGGAACGTATCTGACGGTGATAAGCTCATTGGGAAAAGTAACAAAATAAGCCGACTTGATATTCCTGTTAGCATTTACGATTGTAGCACCCAATGCTCATAGCGAATATCTCAGGTCCGCAGACGGTGTGTCGTAGCAACTTTTAAAATGCTGGCCTCCAATGACATGAGTTTTCAGACATCATCAAAAATATTCTATCGTTGCATTCAACTCAACTTAAAAAATTAGATTTTTCTTTTTCCTCCGTCCAGAAATTGTATAATTATAAAAAAACACTTCTGCCGTTCTGTGTCACCTCTTGGTTATTATTATTTACTCAAGGAAAATGAATATGTGCGAAAAACGTCCCTGGGTATTGGATGGCTAATAATTGGGCTAAAACATACGAATAATCAGGCAGCATTCTTGTTCAACGGAACCAACATCCTATCGTGTGGACTCTTGGATTTAACATTGGAAAAGGAAAGTATTTGACAACGATGGCCTTTTCGGAAGAAAATTGAAGTAAGCAAATAGGAAAGTCATCTACTAAACATTTGCAATTAAATCGTCCAAAGCTAAGAGCGAATCTCTCAGGTCTGTGAACAGTGTCTCGATGCATGACGTGATTACCTGTTGCAGATACCATCCTGAAATAGGACGACTTTTTTGATTTCTCTGCCGCCGCTCCGCAGAAACGTGTTTAATTACAACGGACACTTTTGTCATACTATGCCACTTCGTGACGATTCATAACCTTCCCGAAATATATCAAATTAGGGCCTACCCGTAAGTCTTCGTAAAACGATCATTTAATATATCTGCGCGGACCAATCAGAGCTTGGACGCTCAGGAACAAACAATACAATATTGCTCATCCATTCAATGAATTTTGGTTACGAACAAGTGATCTCAAACTGACGGTCATTCCTGCGTTAAGCTTCCACCTTAAAATACGGGATTAATTTAAGTAGCGAGTCAAAGCTTGCAAAATAGGCTGCAAGGATAACGCAAATCGTATCTGTTTGGAGAAGACGCAGGGTATAATGCGGGGCATCTGAGATAACGATATAATTCAAAATTAATCTTGCTGATTTAAGTAAGCTGCGTTCACTGTTGACTGATTGGGCATTCACGGAAGGGCTATGCGGCTGTGCAGGAAGGATATACGTATTTACCCGACTGCAAATACAGTCTGCAGGTATAACATGCTTGCGATGCCCTTACGCAGAATATGACATGAGTTCGCAAAAAAATAAGAGTCAAGGCCTGTTTAGGACTTGGCTTTGTCAGAGAGGTTTTACGAGCAGGCAAACCAACAGACTCCATGTCTGAAGCTGGGGAACTGTACTGCGCCCTCCACTTCCCAGCCAAGGGCACAAATACTGGACAATTAGCTACCGCTCATGAGAGACATCGGGTCTCTGAGTCCTGTTACCGACAATCAAGTCTCAAATAGGACCGGAGGCTAAATTCTCTCTAGCGAGCACCTTAGCTATACACCAAACATTAAACACATTGGGCTTGCGTAGAACTCAGACGTCCAAGCGAATCACTGTGCAACAGTCAGGTAGTTCCCTTGAACAAATGAACCTACATTGTTCTGTCCGAGAGCCTAGCTAGCGGTTGTTGTTCTACTGAAGATAATTGCCGCTTGTTATTGATACCTTGAATAGCAGTATCGCTCAACTACACTACGTATGCTATCTCATAAAATTTCCACTGAAATTCACGACCGTGTTTTAATTTCGAAAAAGCGCTTAAGTGGTTTTGTCATGCATACATGTATATGCAGAATGTTATTACCAACAAAGACAAGGGAAATTAGAATTACCATTTCTGGTTTATTGGCCGCCGCTATCCAGCCACACCCAACCACGAACCGTGAAACACCCGAGGCCAGAACCCGCGACCTGCTAGTTAGAAGTTCACGACTCTAACCCCTGGGCAACGAGCCCGTTGCCCTGTCAGTTTCGATCGGGGATATAAAATGGTAGTGGAACGTTCAAAGATTGTTCATACAAAACTCACTCGTTCCGTTGTGCCTTAAAGGCTCTCTCTCGAGCCAAACCAGCAGCCGCACAGCGGCGCATAATATATAGGCAGAATGGTATTACCGGCAAAGTCAAGGGGAACTGGAATGGCCATTTCTGGCTTATTAGCTGTCGTCAGCCAGCCATACCCAAGCCCGAAGTGTGGAACACCCGAGCCTCGAACTCGCGACCTGTAGGTTTGGAAGTCCACGCCGGGCGACGAGCCTGTTGCCCTATCGGTTTTCGATGGGAAATATACAATGGTAGGGGGCGCTCACCAATCGTTCATACGGAACTCACTCGTTCCGTTATACCTTAAATGCTTTCTCTCGAGCCCAACCAGCAGCCGCACAGCGGTGCGTGATATATATATTTTGTTCACTCTGGTATGGTGCCAAACCCATGCATATACATGTATATATATATATATATATATATATATATATTAATATTTCATATTTTTTTCTGAACCGAGCTCACTGGTTCTCTATTGCATGCTGCATAATGGTGAGATATTCGATTTATGTCATGAATGACCTTTTTGTGCAGTGCCGGCATAGGCAATATTGTCTTAAATGACTGCGTAAAAATATGTTTTTGCCATCGCGTTTTCGCACCCTAATAGATTCAAGCATACGTTCTTAAAATCATCCACACACAAGCACTTCTTCCGCTGCTCTCTAGGTGACCAAGTGCGCATTTTGTAAGCGTTATATTTGTAGACGAAATATTTTTCGGTTTGAAACACTTTCTCGATGCTCGAACAATTTAGCACGTGACCTGCTGTTACGCCTTCGTTCAGGGTTTCTTACCTACAAGCCGTATCCTTTTCGCGCGAGAATAACCAATCAAGTACGGCCAATGATATTTAGAAATTTTCAATGTTCGCTACTTTATATATGGCCGATGCAGTGAGCTTTTGTTGCATATTTCATGACTTTGAAAATTATCATGATACAAAACTTATTTTAAACCGAAAGATACTATTTCTTTATGTACAAAGTTTAAGCAAAACGTTTTTTTCCAAACGCGTAAAAGATAAAACACGTGTGCTCGTGTTAAATAAATGAATTTCAATTTATAAACAGTAAAACGTTATGCTAAAGTAGTCACTTTTGCGAAAAGTAGTTTTCTAAGACCGTCAATGTGAATCCTAGCCGGCATCACAGCGTGACTGGTAGATATAGGTAATATGCCACAGGTTGATTTTTTGCAATCCTACCTAAGTAATAATTTTGAGTTGAAGGCGCCCCTCAACGTTTTGTCTAACATTTGATTAGGTAACTCTGCTTCCGTATACGATAACGGAGGAGAAATATCCACCAAACAGCCTTTATTATAACATGATACTCTGAATCTATGCTTGTTACGTAGAATGGTGATAAGATATAGCCACTAAATGACGTCAGTTCTAAAGGCAAAATCTGAGTCAATTGTCAACTTGTCCACACCGCGGAGTAATATATTTCGAAAACGGGGCCCTCTTATTTATTTTATTCGGTTAGCTGCGGTAAACACTTAGACTCAATTTTTCCGCCAAGGTAAACTGCTCTTAAAATGTAAGCACATAATAATAAGCTACTGGCAAATATCGTCTTTTATATTGTATATGTTACTTTCCAAATTTGACTTGTATACAATAGGGGAAAAGCGTTGCATTTTTGCTCACAAACCGCATAATAAAAGCAGACCAAGTGTGTTTTAATGTTCTTGAGACGCGGTTGATATATTTCTAGTTCAAGCTATTGCATATTTTTTGCATCATCCTATGGCGGCTGGTTTATTTCATGAAAATCAGGTTTCGGTCGTAGGACTGTTGAAAACGGACATCTAGTTTTAATGTCCTTTAATGCCTAACGAAGTGTAAACATGAAATGTCTTCTTCCCCATCGTCAATAATTTGAAAACAAATAATGACGCTTATGTTTCAATCATAAAGAACTTCAATCGGCGGAAATCTCTGACGGGCAATCTTTCATTTATACTGATTATTTCCATTGAACAAATATAATGTTTTTATACATAAGTGCGCAACAAAGGGAGAAGATTTGACGCTGTGATTCATTTTATTTTTATCAATCCCCAAAGAAGTCCATCTAGAAGGACCTCAAGTTCTAGGTTTTAATCGTACAGCTTTATCAGAAATTTCACTCCCGCGTCTAGAGCAAGAAAAAGT